CTGCCACACCTGGTTGGTGGATTCCTCCCACCATTATGATTTTAACCCAAAAAGACTCATGTGAGAATTAGGGTGGCACATCCATTAACATGGGCTGTTCTTTGGAACGACAGCCACAAAAAGGCATGGACAAATCAACTATATTTTGAGCCGTAGGTTGACCACATCCCAGTGGGAGATGTTTTGCTTGTTGGAGATTAAGAGGTACAGTTTCCATGTCAATCACAGGTGGGAAACCAGCCAACCCAATGCTAATCTCAGTTCCTTTCTGTTTGGGGACATCTGAGCAGCCTTAGCGTTCCTACTGATTGAGGTAGGAAAGTCTCTTTCTAACACAGGCCAGCTTGTGTTCACAGGAGAAAGGCATGTTTAGGTTTTCCTGACTGCTCCTGGGGTTTGATTTCAAAGACTGCCGATTGTCCAGTCTCCCACAGGCTTTATAACAGCAGAGATTTGGAGCAGTCCATACTGAAAGGACAATGGCTGGGGCCTGTGAGAGCCTGGGGGCCTCTTATTGGTAGAAAGAGAATTTGCATCTTGACCCACAGGAAGGGCTGAGGTCTTCAGACAAGGTGATTTTCTTGAGCACATCACAGCACTAGATAGCTTTGGGACAGACTGAGAACTCCAAACTGAAGGCAGCAAGAGTGGGAAGAAACTCTTTTCTCAACCAGAATACCCCAGTTCACTACCAATAGCCATTTGAGGTTTCTTCTGGGGGAGCTGTTTCACCCTTCCCAAACCTGCCTGCCACTATTAGGGGGTCCAGGTCTCATGCCACCGCTGGCTTGTGGTTTTCCTCTGTACCTCCATCCTCCCTGGTTTTCTCAGGACACAGGGTCCTTCCCCGATTCTGCCCAGCAAAGCAGCTGGTGCTGCACTCCGAAGACCTCGGCTCTAACTGAGTAGACCTCCCACACCACACATCTGAAGGCTGCACAAGGGATGGGGAAGCCAAGGCTTTATCTCTTGTAGCAAAAAGCACAAATCTAAGAACAGGACCACTGGGGCTGGATTACCCTTGAGACTTAATGACCAGAACTAAAATCCCGAGTATCCATCAGGGACTTTCGTCACCTCACCTGACAATCGCATGCCTCTCAGTTCACAGAAGCTGCCGGAGTGAAACTGACGGCTGTTCACTCACGTCTCATTGGACTCTGGGTGCCCAGCTCACTTGCTCCACTTGGCTGCCTCCCGCCTGCCTCTCTGCTCAAACCCTGTCTTGATTTGGCAGCACTACAAGACAGAATAAAAACATACACTTCTACCCAAATTCCTGTCTCCTCTCATTTACACAGGAGATTAGATGATTTCTTTCCTTGTCTTAGGTGCCTGGGGTTCTCACTGCCCAGTTCCATCTTCCTCTACATTAGCTACAAGAAAAAAGAGAGTGACTGCGTAAACAAGATGTCACACCTTTTTCATATGGTTTTTGTAATGGATAATCATCTTCATTTTACAGATAAGGAGAGTTATCATTATAACATCTGTCCATCATCTACATCCATTCACCCATCTCTTTCCCCCCAAGATGGTCATTGTCTAGTATGAGCCAAGCAAAGTGCTGCTTACTGCAGACTCCAAACCCAGTGCTCTTTCTCCTGCATCACAGACATCTCAGGAATATACCCCTTGTTTAGGAGGAAGCCTGACTCATTCAACAGATATTTTTGGAGCACCTCCAATGTGCTGGCACATTTTCAACCTAACACTGCAAAAGCAAAAAAAAAAAAAAACCAAACCCAAAGGCAAATCCATTCCTTCATGGAGCTTACATTCTAAGTTCCATCTGTCTGTCTGGAGACAGACAATAAACATAAGAAAAAAATATATAGCATGTTAGTGATATGGTGGAGAGGCACTTAACAAATGTCACATACATAAATAATTTCCATGAAATTAATGACATGCTGACAGAAACAACACATTTCGGTTCACAGTAAAATTGTTCCTTGGTATTAGCTATTTCCTCTCCTCAATATGTCAGGAGCTGCTAAAATCACTTTCCTGTTTCCTCTTACTTGGGCTGATTGTGTCCTGAGCTGTGCCTGCTGTTGGGAGATTTTCCTCACAATGAAAATAGGACTGGGGCTTGGTTCCTCCAGCCATAGCAAAGGAGCTAAGAGAGAAATAACTTCTGTGCATTTCTCCAACTGCATTTAAGTTATGCCTCTTCTTCTTCATTTTTTAAAAGAAAGATACACTATAAAGCCTTATTGATTTAGCTCAGCAGTTTGAGATTTATGATGCTTTAGATAGGCTTGGGCTTGAGATTGCCTTGAGGAGAGGTGAATGTAAGTAAATTAAGAATAAAAATAAGATTGCTAAACATTGCACTACTTAAGGGAATAAGTAGCTTTTTTATTATTTTGAATAAGCTATTTTAAACACATTGGAAAATGAAATCAGACTTGCTCATTACAAATAGTTCTTAAACTGTTCTTAAATGCAGGAGCCAATGATATACTTGCTACCTCCGTTTAGACTCATAACATTGTGCTTCAAGCCCGTTTGGATTTGAGAGTAATAAAATGGTTTTTACTAAACAAATACTCTAGAATTCTCACTTCACTAAATTGAGACCCATCTTTTACCCAAATTTAGCTAGATTTTAATGGATATCACACATCTCCATCCTGGATTTTCCTGTAGCCTATTTCAAAAGATAGATTTGTTCAGTCTTATCAGTAAAGTACTCAATCATGCTTCCCTTGTATCAGGCACCTCAAGGGCAGGAGATAACGCAAATGTGCTTGATTTTTAATAGGTAGAAATATGTCTATGTGAGGTTGACTGTTACCTAATATAGTCAGATATCTGAAAGGAATGTGAAAAATTAAGGTAATCATTGGTACTTCCAAATAGCTGGGTGGATGTTGGAGTCATATTTGCAAAACATAGATTATACTGTCATGTCAGATTTGGGACACTTTGGGAGGTTGGGAGAGAGATGGAATAGGTGGGGCCAATGTCAGACTGGTTGGATATACAGGTGGGTGGTGTAGCTGGTCCATAGAGGTGGTTGGGTCAGCGAATCTATATGCAGATAAGAACACATAATTTCATTCTTGACACACTAATTCCAAGGTTGATACTCCAGATCTATATCATCTTTCCTTTTTATCACTTTAGGAAATACAGAAATATATCCTCCCAAAATCACCCTAAATCCCACCAACCAGAGATAGCTACTGTAGTGATTATGGCATATTTCTTGTGTCTATTTATTTCTCCCTAATGCAAACACATTTTAAAAAATGAACATTGGGATTATCTTGTTCATTTAATTTTATATGCTTCTGTTTTCATTATTACAATTAGGGCATTTTTTTCATGTTAATAAATACTTACTGAAAACATAAATATCTAATGGCTATATCATAATTTATTCAACCTTTCCCTTGATGTAGAATGTTTAGATTGTTTTAATTTATTCTTGCTTATATAGAATAAACATTCCTGAACATATACACATGTAAAGCACTCTGACAAATTACTCCAGGTACTTATTCCTGATTATTTTCCTTATCTTCAGAGAGGCTTATGGAGAGATAAGTATTCCCAAGATGGTGAGAGATTGAATGGTTTATTTGTGGCAAGAATTTTTTCTGGGGCCATGCCACTCAGCATGTGGGATCTTAGTTCCCCAACCAGGGCTGGAACCCATGCCCCCTGAGTCTTTACCAGTGGACTGTAGTCAGGGAAGTGCCTGTAGTGAGAATGTTTTGTAGTCCCATTGATCCAGTCACATTTAATCAATTAATTAGTTCCTTTGCTTATTCAACAGGAATTTGCTGAAGTCATAGTATGTGTGAATAAATACTGCAGGAGAGTACACAAAGAGTTTGTGGGCTTCTCCATCTAGTTGCAAAGACATACTTAGACAACATTCAAGAAAGCTTTGCTAATAACTGCTAATAGTTAGATAGAACTTACTATATGTTGTTCTAGGTATTGTATGTATATTTACTTAGTTCTCACAACAGCTACTATTGTCATGAACCTCATCTTATAGTGAGAAAATCAAAACACAAAGAGGTTAAGTAATTTTTCCCCAAGATCACACAGCTAGTAAGCAGTGGAAGTGTGATTTGAATCCAAGCAATTAAGCTCCAGAGTTCCTCATAGCCCGCACATATCTCAAATATGCCAACGTAGAGAGAAAGTATTATAGAAGGGTTATATCTTAATACTTTCTATAATACGTCTATAATAATTTCTCTCTACATTGGCATATTAGAGACATGTGTGGGTTGTGAAGAAAGCATTTTCTAGAGGTGACTCTTCTTTTGCACTGGTTTTGTAAACTGTAACAAAACCCTTTAGGGTTCTATAGTCAAGGTCATTTGGAGGCCATTTTCTCTAATACTTTGAATATTAATGAGAATCACTAGATGAACAAATTGTCTCTTCTGATTTGGGTAAGTGAATTATTTGAAGGTAGAAAAGCCATCATTCCACCTGTCTTGTCTGAAGGAACTTCTGTGGGGAAATGCTGGGGAAATAACATTATTTCGGATTGAACCCAACAGAAGATTTGATTTGTAATAAAGAACTAATTTAATGGATACCTTGTTCATATTCCTAGCATTAAAAAAGTTTGTCAAATGGATGAATGAGTAATGCTTTAGACTGTAAGGCTTACAGATGAGATAATGCCATGACCCAGACTCGGTGGTGGGCTGGTGCTCATTCCTTGTGGCGCGTGCCTTTTTCCAGCTTCATGGTCAGTGACTTGGTGTTGGTAGCTTGAAATCAGTCATGGCAGGAATATTTACAAAACTCAGTAGATGCTACCAATTAGGGCTTTTCTGTCATCTTGGAGAGCTAGTTGTTACACATTTACCAGCACACCACTCCCTAGGCTTGTTAGGGATTTCACAAGTGGGAAGAATTTCTGTGACTTCAGGGGAAGAAAGAAGGAAGTGCAATGAGAATACCAATTCAAACCCTTTTCTCTTCTTTGGTCTTGAATGTTTTTGTCTTTTGTTTTCTTTTATTGGTAATTTCAGAGTTGGGGGATACTCTGTTAAGATAGTAGAGATGTTAAGGTAGTAGAGGGCGAATGAAGTTCAAGAGTAAAGGCATACTGGGGCGTGTTAGTTTCAGCCGAGCACACCTCTCCTTTTCAGCCCTTCAGCATTAATGGTTCCCATAATTTAAGCAGGGAAATGTTGGTGGACAGCCATGTAGGAAGCCCTCATGGAGTATCATTTGCCTGTGGAGACAAGGAAATAAAGGTGTCCAAGTTGGAAGGAAATGTTCCATATCCTCTGGTCCAATCCCTTCATTTCCCAGGTGAGGAAAATGGGCTCCAAAGAGTGGATGTGTTTCCCCAGATCATGGGTCTAGCTTATAGTGAGGACTTGGATCAGACTGTCTGGTGTGACTATCAACTCTCTATTATATTTGACATTGGACTGGTTACTTAATCTTTGTGTGTTTTCTCAGCTATAAAATGAGGATTTTGTGAGGAGTAAATAAACATGTGAAAAACTTACATGTAGTAAGAGCTCAATAAATATTAATAATATGGAGACTTTAGTAATAACACTGTTTTAGAGATGTTAAGGTAGTAGAGGGCGAATGAAGTTCAAGAGTAAAGGCATACTGGGGCGTGTTAGTTTCAGCCGAGCACACCTCTCCTTTTCAGCCCTTCAGCATTAATGGTTCCCATAATTTAAGCAGGGAAATGTTGGTGGACAGTCATGTAGGAAGCCCTCATGGAGTATCATTTGCCTGTGGAGACAAGGAAATAAAGGTGTCCAAGTTGGAAGGAAATGTTCCATATCCTCTGGTCCAATCCCTTCATTTCCCAGGTGAGGAAAATGGGCTCCAAAGAGTGGATGTGTTTCCCCAGATCATGGGTCTAGCTTATAGTGAGGACTTGGATCAGACTGTCTGGTGTGACTATCAACTCTCTATTATATTTGACATTGGACTGGTTACTTAATCTTTGTGTGTTTTCTCAGCTATAAAATGAGGATTTTGTGAGGAGTAAATAAACATGTGAAAAACTTACATGTAGTAAGAGCTCAATAAATATTAATAATATGGAGACTTTAGTAATAACACTGTTTTCTTTCAAAAGGGAAGTTCAGAAAAGAAAGATTTATTAATATACTAAAAACCAGCATACTCCTAATTAATAATATATTAATTCAAGCTATTAAGTTATTGAAAACCAGCACACATATTAATAAAACATTAACATTTTGAAATTTCAAATGTACGATTTTTCCCCCAAATCAGACTGTACAAGTGTTTTAGTGACTGATTCACCAACAGTGTTAGTTACACTCTCCTTTTTTTCTTTGAACTTCAAAGGATTTCTAGCTGAATAAGGACCAAGTAAACTTCAGACATCTTTAGACTGGCATGTGTTCCCGGAGGCCTTTTCCTGTGCTGAGTCGCTTCAGTCATGTCTGACTCTTTGCAACCTACAGACTGTAACCCTCCAGGCTCCTCTGTCCATGGGATTCTCCAGGCAAGAATACTGGAGTGGGTTGCCATTTCCTCCTCCAGGTGATCTTTGCAACCCCTTGGACTGTAGTCCTCCAGGCTCCTCTGTCCATGGGATTCTCCAGGCAAGAATACTGGAGTGTGTTGCCATTTCCTCCTCCAGGTATTCTTCCCAACCTAGGGATTCAACCTGTGTTTCTTGTTTCTCCTGCATTGGCAGGTGGGTTCTTTTACCACTAGCGCCACCTGGGAAAATTTTTTCAGAGAATGTTTAAAGAAACTACCCCTCCAGGCTCCTCTGTCCATGGGATTCTCCAGGCAAGAATACTGGAGTGGGTTGCCATTTCCTCCTCCAGGTGATCTTCCCAACCTAGGGATTCAACCTGTGTTTCTTGTTTCTCCTGCATTGGCAGGTGGGTTCTTTTACCACTAGCGCCATCTGGGAAAATTTTTTCAGAGAATGTTTAAAGAAACTACCCCCCCCCCCCACCAGTTAGGGGGTAGGTCACACACCCCTTTATGTTGACAGTGACTATATCTGGGTTGCATCTTCTACAGGTCTCTACCACCAGCAGGTGGTAAAGGTCAGAAAGAGAAGGCCCTGGGGCACACCTGGTTTGTCCAGAATCAGAGAACAGCTGGATCAAGGGTTTATCAAGGCCAGGGGCTGGGCAGAGGCCTGGGGCTGGCCCCTCCTCACCTAGCCCTCTCTCTCTACCCAACCATTTGCTCAGTCGTGTCTGACTCTTTGTGACTCTTTGGACTGTAACCCACCAGCCTCCTCTGTCCATGGGATTTCCCAGGCAAGAATACTGGAGTGGGTAGCCATTCCCTTCTCCACGGGATATTCCTGACCCAGGGATCAAACCTAGGTCTCCTGCATTGAAGGCAGATTTTTTTACTGTCTGGGTCACCAGAGAATCCCCTACCCAACCATAGATAATGCTTTAATTTGCTAGTCACCCGGGAGGGTGAGCAGTGTGCAGGTTCTAGGGGCTAGTCCTGGAAACTGACTCTGGGTCCCCTTTCCTAGCTCCGTCACCTACTCGCTCCATTTCCGTAGGGAAAACACATAACATCTCTGAGCCTCTATTTCTTATCTGTAAAATGAGAATCATAGTCCCTGCTTCATAAGATTGTTGAGAAAATCAACTCAAGCAATATGTGAAAAGCAATACATGAAAGGCACATGTTTTGCTTTTATTTCTTTAATTTCTATTGTGGTAAGATGTACATAACATAAAATCTACTATTTTAGCCATTTAAAATGCACAATTCAGTCACATTAAGTACATTCACATTGTCATCAGGCAACCATCACCCATCCATTTCCAGAACTTTATTGTCATCCCAAACTGAATCTCTGTACCCTGTAAATAATAACTCTCTACCATGTCCTCCCCCCTGCCTCTGATAACTTCTATTTTCTGTCTTTATTAATTTGACTACTCTAAGTACTACATACAAGTGGAATAATATAGTAGTTATCTTTTTGTATTTGGCTTATTTCTCATAGCATAATGTCGTCAAGGTTTATCCATGTGATAGCATGTGTCAGAATTTCATTCCTTTTTAAGGCTAAATAATACTACATTGTATTTTCATACCATATTTTGTTGACCCATTCACCTGTCAATGGATATTTGGTTGTTTTTATATTTAGGCTGTTGTGAATAATGCTGATATGAACATCGGTGTACACATGATCTATTTGAGTCCCTACTTTTATTTTTAGGGTGTGCACCTTGAAGTGGAATTGCTGGATCACGAGGTAATTCCATATTTATTTTTTGAGGAACAACCACACTGATTTTCACAGCAGCTGCACAATTTTACATTCCCATAAACTGTACACAGGAGTTTTGATTTCTGTATATCCCCGCCAGTACTCATTATTTTCTTTCTTTCTCTTTGAGAAATAATGGCTATTTATTGTGGGTATGAAGTACCCATTTTGTGGGTTGACTTTTCACTCTTGACAGTGTCCTTTGATTTACAAAAGTTTTCAATTTTAATTAGTCTAATGTATCTATTTTTTCTTTTGTTACTTGTGCTTTTGGTGTCATATCCAATAAGTCATTGCCGAATCCAATGTCATGAAGCTTCCCCCTATCTTTTCTTCCGAGAGTTTTATAGGTTTAGCTCTTAGGTTTAGGTCTTTAACCTATTTTGAGTTAGTTTTTGTACATGGTGTACTGTAAGCATCCAACTTCATTGTTTTGCATGTGGATATTCAGTTTCTCCAGCACTGTTTGCTGAAAGTGAAAGTTGCTCAGTCGGGTACCACTTTTGGCCACCCCATGGAATTCTATCCAGGCCAGAACACTGAAGTGGGTAGCCATTCTCTTCTCCAGGGCATCTTCCCAACCCAGGGGTGGAATAGAGCTCTGCAACACTCCACGTGGATTCTTTACTAGCTCAGACAAAGACTGTACTTTTGCCCTTGAACGGTATTGGGACCTTTGTTGAAAATCATTTGACTATATATGAGAGGGTCTATTTCTGAGCTTTTTATTTTACTCCATTGATCTGTATGTTAGTCTTTATGCCAGTACCACACTATGTTGATTGCTATAGCTTTATAATAAGTTTTGAAATTAGGAGCTGGTAAGTCTTTTAACTTTGTTTTGACTATTTGGGGGTTATTTGGGGCCCCTGGAGATTTCTTGTTAATTTTAGGATGAGTTTTTTTATTTTTGCAGAAAAAAAAATGTTGTTGGGATTTTGATAGGGGTTGTTTGAATCTGTAGATCACTTTGGGTAGAACTGGATCCCTAATAATGTTAAGTCTTACAATCTATGAGTATGTGATGTCCTTCCATTTATTTATGCCTCCTTTCATTACTTTAGCAGTATTTTGTTTTGCAGTTTTCGGTGTAGAGATCATTTGCCTCCTTGTAGTTTATTCCTACTTAGTTTATCATTAACACTACAATAATGCTTAATTTGTGCCTAGCACTATACCACAGAAACCAAGGAAATCTTTCTAAAATGGAAATGTTATGTCATTCTCTTGCTTAGAACTCTTGAGCATAGTCTATAATGTGCTTTGAGATCTGGTTTTGGCATACTTTCTAGCATTATCTCTTGTTACACTCCCCTCCAAAAAAAATTCCAAAGCAATAGACAAAACTCTCTAGCAATGCCACTGATCCTTTTTCTAGAATATTCCACCATTTCCAAAGTCTGGAACCGCCCTGCCCATTCAGTGCTGCTATCTCCTCTGAATGTCCACCTTGACTTGCTAACTCTTCCTATAAACTCTTTGAAGGCAGGAACCATAACTTACTCATCTTTGCATCTTAAGCATTCAGGATGCTATCTAGAACTGAGTAAGAGCAGGATGGAATTAAATTGACTTTTTTCCCCTGAGCCTTAAGAAGAAATAATGTAAGAAGCAGGAGGAGGAGGAGCACAGGGATGCTGACTTTAAACAATTAAAATGCTATTGTATAAAACAGAAAATTCTGTGCTCCTTACAAAGGAATAGAGACCAAGGTAATAGGTAGATGTCCAAGGAGATAAAGTTGAAATCCATGTAAAGGATATTTTTAGCAATTACATCTGCCTAACAATAGAATGGATTATCTTGAAAAGTAGTGTGTGCCTCCTACTGAAAATGTTCAAAAGTAGGGCCTCCATGTCCATTTCTCAGTGATTGATAAAGTGCTTGAAGCACATGGGCTCTGGAAGCATCCTGACTTTAAAGTTTCATGATTCTAGATGCAACATAAACAGAACTATTTTACAGTGATTCAGAATTTGCCCTCTAAAAACTTATGGTTGTCTCATCAACTTATTTTCTGGTAAACAATGACTTAAATGCCTTTGAGGATCAGAGTCTGGTTGGTGGTGGGTGGGCATTCTGGGGACAAATCTGAGGTTCATAAATCTGTGAAGGCTTCAGGAGATGGTGTCAAGGACACTCGGGGTGGGCGGATGGCCTTCCAGGGCTATGGCAGACCCAAGTCAGAGAATAGCGGGCAAGGGCCCTATTTCAAGGAGTTCCTGCAGGGGGCTGTTCTGAGTGTGATGGTGTAAATGGGTTGAATGGATTGTCATGGGAATCTGGCTGCAAGCAAATGACAGACTACTATGGCTCTAGGGTGACTTGACATTAGGTAGCACTGGGACTCCAGATTTATAGAACAGTTGGCAAAAATAAGCCAAGACCCCACTCTCAGGAAACTGAGATGAATTGGGGGTGAGGGGGTGGTGGTGGAGCAGGCAGGCACCACACTGTGGCAGAGTTCTGATTGCTGGGGCTGGCAAGTAAGAGGAGGGCTTGTTTACCAATATCTTTAATAATTACCAGATTCATTTAAAGATCAGAGCAGGAAACTGACTTGGATGCTGAAGCACCAACCTACTGGTAAGGACCCCTTCCTTTTGCTCACCTTCAGTGGGAATGGGGTTGATTTCTCTATTAGGATGGTTTGAGCTTCTTCTACCTGAGGCTGTCTGCACCTATGGAGAGGGGAGAAATTTGGAGACATTAAGAGTTACATCTTCAGTTTAGATGTTAATTTCATAGGTCATTGAGTTAATGGAGCCTCAGTTTGAGAGAGTTCCCTCTGCTGGCTGATTTAAGCCAGAGCCTGTTGTCTCAGGATACTTGTTCATTGTTGATGTATTTAAGATAAGGAGGTTACATTACTGAGTATAAGGAAATCATTGCTAGGTTTTATTTCATTTTTTTCTGATTTGGGTAGGGGTTCTTGGAGCTTTCTTTCTCCCCAACCTCCAATCAACTTTATTGAGGTATACTTTACCTGAAATAAAATACATACATACTTGTGTAACCACCACCATTACCCAATCAAGATTTTGAACATTTGTATACCTCTAACTTTATTTTTTTGGGCTCCAAAATCACTGCAGATGGTGATTGCAGCCATGAAATTAAAAGATGCTTACTCCTTGGAAGGAAAGTTATGACCAACCTAGATAGCATATTAAAAAGCAGAGACATTACTTTACCAACAAAGGTCCGTCTAGTCAAGGCTATGGTTTTCCCAGTGGTCATGTATGGATGTGTGAGTTGGACTGTGAAGAAAGCTGAGCACCAAAGAATTGATGCTTTTGAACTGTGGTGTTGGAGAAGACTCTTGAGAGTCCCTTGGACTGCAAGGAGATCCGATCAGTCCATCCTAAAGCAGATCAGTCCTGGGTGTTCATTGGAAGGACTGATGCTGAAGTTGAAACTCCAATACTTTGGCCACCTCATGCGAAGTGTTGACTCACTGGAAAAGACCCTGATGCTGGGAGGGATTGGGGGCAGGAGGAGAAGGGGACGACAGAGGATGAGATGGCTGGATGGCATCATTGACTCGATGGGCATGGTTTGAGTAAACTCCGGGAGTTTGTGATGGACAGGGAAGCCTGGCGTGCTGCGATTCATGGGGTCACAAAGAGTCAGACATGACTGAACGACTAAACTGAACTGAACTGAACTGAAAAAGTTCTACTGTGCATTATTGCAATCAGTTCCCAATCCTGATCCCCCATGTCTCCAGGAAACCACAAATCTGCTTTCTCTTGGCATAGATTATATTGCTTGCTTAGAATGTTAAATAAATGAATCACTTAGTATGTACTCTTGTGTCTAAATTCTATCACTCATGATAATGTTTTTGAAATTCATTCATGTTGTATGTGTCAGTGGTTTTAATCTCTCTATTGAAGAGTAGTATTCCATTATATGAATATATAAAAAATTTTTATCCATTTTCTTGTTAAAGGACATTTGGATTGTTTCCAGTTTGGAACTATTTTGAATGAAGTGCTATAAACATTGGTATACAACTCTTTTTTGTGGCCATGTTTTCATTTCTCTTGAGTAAATGTCTGGAAATAGACTCGGTAGGTTATATGATGAGTGTGTGTTTGATTTTATAAGAAACTGCCAAGCTGCTTTCTTTAGTGGTTGTATATCCCACTATTAGTGTATGAGAGTTCTAGTTTCTTCACATCCTTGTCAAGATATACTGTTGTCAACCTTTTAAATTTTAGCCATTTCAGTGGATGTATTGAATATATGAAAATCATTGTTTTGTTTTAGTTTTTTTCTGATGGTAAAAATTCCTGAAGACTTTTTTTTTTATTAAACTTTTAATTTTGAAATAATTGTAGATTCACAACACAACTGTAGACTCTCAGTAATGTTAATACATCAGAACCTATGGTTCCCTGACCCTTTTTTTGAAAAACCATAGCACAATATCACAACCACTAGAGTCTTTTCAAAATACAGAAGTCTCAAAGTTTAATTAGAAATAAACAGATACTAGGCACCGTCTGATTGTGCCTTATGCCCAGTGAGACAGGCAGAATCATGGAGCAGGGAAGCTGTTGTAACCATAATGCTTATGAATACTCTTGAGTATTGCATTTCAGGGACTGGAAAAACTGATAACCTGTTAATATTGGCAGTACTAACTCTTAAGGTTTCCAGTCTGAAAACGCAATATGTGAAATTTCAAATTAGACAGCTCTGATGAGAAAGCAAGACTCAGAGTGAAAGACAAGGAGATACTCAAGAGGTGACACAAAAGGTATTGACTTAGAGCTCCTCCAGTTGGACCTTCACTAAATGTGTCTTTTTTCTCACATAGACATTTTCATCTTTTTGACTTCAGGACTAATTGTGGGTGGTCATTCTATTCAGGGATAATGAAATAACGCTGAACTTCAGATAGCCCCCAACCTCATTTGAGCTAATGTTTTCAAAATATTTGGCTATATCTCAAAATAAGTAGTAAAATGAATTGATTTGGGTTTTAGCTTTTTGTGCTTTCCCTGCCCATATCTAGTGGAAGGATTAACAAGCAATGAAATGGCTAAGATGCAGGGAGTCTGAGTGGGGAGATAGAGAAAGACCCATATAATCTTCAGACTGGATAATTAGCCCCAACAGACTCTAGCGTTGATGGTAGTAAGAGGAAGCAAATCCTTGAGATAAAGGTTATAAGGTACTCCTACGGAGAAGTAAAGACAGGGAAGGTTGAAGAACTAAATCTACTGTAATTATAAATGTAATTTTTTTTTTAAAAGCAACAAGAAAGGAAAACATGCAGATTTGCTTGAAGAATGAATGTAGTGAATTATTCCCTATAACTTCCTTCCGAAGATGACCATTCAAGCACAGTCCCCACACTACTGTGACAGGACAATCACTCTTTTGGAGGTCATTTTTTATATTATGGCAAAGTTAAGGTTGTTCGTTGTAAGTTCTTTCAACATCCTTTTCTCCAGCTCCTTTCCTCTTTCCTTGATCCTGTCTCTGGAGTGTCTCTTACTTTCCCAATGTGAAAATCTGTCCCCCTATGCCGTTGGTCCCTCCTGCTTGCCCTGGAATCTCACCCCTCCGGGAACACATGCCTGGTTTCTTCCAGCTCTCCTTTCCTGGGACCTGCTCAAATCTCCCCAGTGCCTGCTCTCCCCTTACCTTATGAACCTACACCTCTTCCCCTCATTATTAAACATTTCTAAAAGAGCAGCGTACATTCTTCAGTTACTTTCCTCATCACCGACCTGTCTCCTTGACCTCGGGCAAACTTCTGGTCACCCCTGACCAACAGTTTTCTAAGGGTTGTCAGCATCCCCCTGAACTCCAGGGCCCATGGTCTTTTCTCCTATGTCATCATCCCAGTCTCATTGAACACTATGGACATATCCCTGCCACCTGTCACCGGGTGCTTCCCGGGATCCTCAGCTGCTCCTTCGTGGTCGTTTCTGCCACTTCCTCTGCCCCACAGGTTTATGCCTCGGCTCAAGCCTTCTTTTGGGCATTTTCCTCATCTTTCCCTGTGATCTTTCCCCAGTAATCTCCTCTGCTCCCTCCTTTTAAACTAAAGCCTCTGAGCAGATATCCTTGCACTTCACTGGTTATACCTTTCTATGGGCGCTTCTTCTTACTTTACTGGGCACTCTATATAGCTGTCTAAATTGTAGGGTCATGTCAGGCTGAGATCATGCTATCGATTCACATTCGTGTCCCCTGGCATAAGGTCTTGAATATAATAGAGGCTGAGATGCCATTTGTTGAATGGTGTTATCTTGCCCATTGGATGTCAACAGCTCTCATCTTGATGGCTTGTTGACACTGTGGGGAGGAGAGGCCAATTAAACCTGTAATCTCCTTATTCCTAGATAGGTTCCTGGTCTAGGACATGCGGTAGTCTTCCCTGCCCTGGTTCTCATAAATGACAGGGAAAGCTTCAGGAGCGAAATCCCGGGAGTAATTGAGTCATGACTGGCACCCCCTGCACGGCTCTGACAAGCGGCACGGCAGCGTCTGCCTCTTCCAAGCGGCATCTTATTTCTCGGAGGTGACTTTACATTACTTTACGGAGGCTGGCACGCTGATTCGGGAGACCCTACTGGGAGCCGCACCTGAGCCTGGTGCCTGACTGCAGCAGACAGCTGCCTAGTTAAGGCAAATTTTACAGTTAAATGTGTGTTCTACTTGGGAATTGGAAACTATCGCGGAAGGACAAATGCAAATAAGATTCCAGTTCAGGGCAGAAGCTTTTTGAGAGACAGCCTTGCCAGAAAACCCCGAGTCTCTGGAGTTTGTCTTCAACTGTTGTTTTGGGGAAACTTATGGGCCATTTTCCAAAGGGCGTTTGGAGAGGACAGAGGCAGCCTTGTTGCAATCTGAAGAATGTGTGCTTTGGGGCGGTACTGTTGCATTATTCTAATAAGGAGAGTGAATGCTGGTCCCGCCACCGAGGCGTTGGATAACCTGGAGCAAGTTACTTTGAATTTCTGAGCCTCAGTATTCTTATCTAGAAGCTATAAATAATGATACTTACCTTGTTAGGATTTTGTTTTTAAAGCTTATTCCAGCATTTGGCATATAAAACTTAAAAAAATTTTTTTAATAAAAAAATGAACATTTTAATTTAAAATAAAAGGTAAAACATTTATTCCAGCACTTGGCATATAAAATTTCAAACAATGCTAACATTTTCCTCATTGTTTTTACTTAATAATTGTGAGACTTTGGGCAAGTTCCTTAACCTCATGGTATCGTTCACCTCTTAAGTTGGTTGTGAAGATTAAGTGATAAAAGGTAGATGTTTGGCACAGGGTGGGCCCTTGGTAGGTGATGGCTATTATGAACAAGATTGTTCTAACAAGCTAGATGTCAGCAAGCCTTTTTCATTTACATTAAGACAGAGGGTACTTGCTGATTAAGACTCCCTGGGGGAACAAGTTTCCCCCAAAAAGAGCAAGAGAGGGGAAATTAAGTGTCAGGATTAAGGGAAAATGTTTTTAAGTCAGATGGATTGGGCTCCACAGCTAATGACTTGTCCTCCCTTAAACTCGGTTTCATTCTCTGAAATATGGGGCTTGTAATAAAATAATTGCATTTATGTAGAGTTGGGTGAGGTTAGGTAGCCTGGTGCATGTAAGGTGCTAAGTAGGGGACTCCCCTCATTGTTAATCTCTACAAAATATGACTGTTGTCATTGAGAATGTGAAGATTTGGGGGGAAGGGCTGAAGAGAGAGAGAGGAAGTAGTGGGGAGAGAGGAAGGAGAGAGAAGCTGGTTAACAGCACCTAGAGGAGATCCCAACTTGGAAGAGACGAACCTGTATGTGAGCTGAGACTGCCTTTTACTCTCTTTATGTCCCCTGCATGTATCTCCTGTGGAGCCAAGTGTAATGTCTTATACATGGAAAGTATACAGCAGATATTTATGGAATGAGAGGTCCACCGGTGAGAATTTAGCTAATTAGAATTTATCCCATTGAGTGTATATGTGTCTGACCATTGTTTCAGGGTTCTGGAATTCAAGAGTGTGGGGCACAAATGCCCTTCTTAAAACTCTGTGTCAGGGAGACAACTGGAACGGCGGCAGTGTTTTTCCATCTGTTACTGTGGACCCGAGGATCTGATTAAGCCTCAAGGTAATGAATGCTTAATTCTTCCCTAAAGAGAACCCAGGAGTGGGTCTGCTGTGAGAGCATCGGTCAACCTCATCTAGAGTTTACATGCAGGGTTTCCCCATGGCCCAGCAGGTACAACCCAAAGGAGAAATGACGTGCAGGAAGAAAGGAGCCAGTCTAATTTAGTGCTGTGCTGGTGAGGTCGCTGCCTCACAGACAAGCTGGCTGCAAGGGAAGCTTGTGAACCCAGGATGGAGGAGTCCTGCATCTGTTCACTGGCCAAATTGCAACGGGAAGGAAGGCTGTTTGTTTTCCTCCCAGAACAGGAATTCTCAGAAAGTCGATTCTCCCTCATTGACAATGCATACTAAGTGATTGAAAGGCCATTAAACCCATTAATAGGATGCTCTTTAAATAAAATAAGTCCCTAAAAGGGATCTTAGACTTGGCAAAGTTGGTAGAGCTGAGAGTGTGCTGGGCCAGCCGAGGGATCATAAATACAACAGAACAAATATTGGGGGTGGGGGAGAGGCAAACAGAGGATAGGGAATCAGGAACCATGAATAGCTTGCATAAAGGACAAATGTTGCCAGACGAGCTTAATGGCTTTTATTTTATTTTTGACAGGATTTACAAAACGAGTAGATGAGGGGAAGTTTGCATCTTGATTTCAGTTAAACATTTGGCACTGCCTCCCACCAAATTTCATGCACAAAATTAATTCAAATTGTCTTGGATGGGAGCATGGTCACATGAGCTGAAAATTGGCTGGCACTCTGTGAACAGCAGGGGGAGGAGGGCGGCCCCCTGTGGCCAGCTTGGTGCTGAGGCCTCATTCTAATTCCTGTCAGGAACAGGGGCTCCTCTTCTCCAACTCTCCCCTTAATAATAATAATAATTGACAACAACATCAACTAACTCTTATTGTTCACATATGATGGTCTAGATACTTTATCTTATTGAAAGCCTTTGTTCTTCCAGCCCCTGATGTTTCTCTCTTTACTCTCCATATTCCCTTTCAAGCAGTTCGTCAGCTGTGTGGATCCTCTCAGGGGACAGATGTGATTAGAGTGTAGAGGATGTGGAGCAGAGAGAAAGTGGGAAAAACAAGAAGAGAGAGGAGCTTCCCACCTCCACCAAGACATCAATTCTGAGAGCTGATGTGTGGGAGTGGGGAGGCCTTTGGGTCCCAGTGCTGCTGGGGCCCCCACATCTAATTTCCCAGGCAGAGCTGCGGCCTGTGTCTCCCACACCCTCTGAGAGGGAGTCTCTGGGGATAGCTGCAGATGCCGCCAACACCGGCCTGGCTCAGAAGACGAGAGCAGCCAGGTCCAGAGAGACTATTTGGACAAGAATGTAGACCTCTCCACAGGGACCTCCAGTGACTGACTGTGACCAGTGAGTCAGCTGCCGGCTCTCTCTTCCCTCCTGGGGGAGTGAGGACTCACAATCAGAAAAGGAGTTGAATTACAGAAGAAGTTGTATATCTGGAGGAAGAGCTCTGTGAGTCCTCGTAGAGCCGCTATAAAATAGGGAAACGAAGGCACGGAGAGTAGAGGAGCCAGATGGAAACCCAGGCAGGACCCACCCCTGACCCCACACTGAGTCTGCTCTCACTGAAGGATGGTGAGAACCTCCCGGTTTTAGTCCAAGCTGCTGTTTCATGCAGAGGATGAACCACTTGGAGACTGTGGTGAGTGTGAATAAATTTGGGGAAATAAATAGCTGCGCTGAGGGCTGTAGCAATATCCACGATATTGTATAATGGGCTACCGAAAATTCATTCACTCACTCACTCATTCTTTTGTTTATTCAGTGAACGTGTGTGTTGGGAACCTATTGTGTATCACACATTGGGTAGAGAAGCCTGAGTCTCTGAGGCAGGCCCAGCTCTGCTCTCCCAGGGCTGGCGCCTGCTGAAGGCACACACACACACACACACACACACACACATGTACACTCACACCACACACACACACAGAAACACACTTACACACACACACACACATATACACACGTGCACATCAGGGCTGTTCTCATTTTTCAAACGTCCTGAACATATTCCCTGATTTGATCCATCCTCAATAGAATTGAATAGCTTTTTGAAATTTACTGGATTCAAAGCTTAATATTTGATTTTTTAAGAAACCAATGAACTTGATCAACATATATTTGGTCAGTTGTGTTTTGACGAAGGCATTGATGTAGTTCAATTGGGAAAGGTAGCTTTTTCAATAAACGATGCTGAAACAAATGGTAATTTATATGGATAAAACTGATCTTGACCTTTATCTCATATTATACATAAGTGTTAATTGAAATGGCTCAGAGACCTCCTTATAAAAGCTGAAATTATAAAATACAGAAGAAAAGAAAAGAGAATATTTGTATAATTTTCCTTTAGATAAAGTTGTCTTAAGACGTTAAAAGCAATAATCATAAAAAGAGTTAGATTTGACTTGATTAAATAAGACATTTTGACTCTTTGAAAAATATCGTAAGGAATTAAGTAAATAAGTCAAATATATATTCACAAAACATACATCTCACCAAAAAAAAAAAAAAAAACCCCCTTTGGATCAATATGTAAAGATTTCTTACAATTCAATAGTAATAAGAACAACCCAGTTTTTTAAATGGGCAAAAATATGTACAGAAATTTACATAATTTCACAAAAGAAAATATATAANTGTAAATTTATATAAATTTACATAAAACATGCATTAAATTTACATAATTTCACAAAAGAAAATATATTAATGGCACAAAAGAACAAGAAAAGCTGTTCAACATCTTTGGTCATGTAGAAAACTGAAATCAAAACCACAGTGGGATATTATTGTATACTGATGAGAATAGCTAAAATTAAAAAAAGACTGACAATACCAAGTGTTGGTAAGTACATGGAGCAACTAGAACTCTCATACACTGTTGTGGGAATGTAAAATGGTATGACTGCTTTGAAAAACAGTTTGGTAATTTCTTATAAATTTAATTATACCATTACTATAAATAATGTACTCAAAACTCCATTCCTAGATAATTTACCAAGAGAAATAAAATCATGTATCCCTATAAAAATTCATTCATGAGTGTCCATAGTAGCTTTATCCATAATAGTTAAAAACTAGAAAAATCCAAATGGCCATCAACTGTTGGGAGGATAAAGGAAACGATAGTATATCCATACAATGGAGTACTACTCAGCAATAACAGGAAAAGAATGAAGCATGAAACAACATGGATGAATCTCAGATGCATTATACTGAGAGAAAGGAGCCAGGAACCAAAGACTACATAATGTGTGATTTCTTTTCTACCTAGTCATAGAAGAAGCAAAACTAATCTACAGTGACAGAGAGCAGAGTGGCAGTTTCTTAGGGCCGGGGTGGGGGATATCTGCTGGTTTCCAGGTTCCCCCTTGATTCTTGGGTGACAGTCCCTTTTGTGAAATCACCTCACTCTGGCTGATGAACTCTTGTGAGTTTTACCCAGAGAATGTCCAGGCAGTCACACTATGGTGAACCCTGTTTCTCTCTTCCCCTTTGTGACCCTGAACCCAGTTCCCTTAAGTGCTCCAAGACCTTCTCACATCTACCTGACCTTTCCCTATCTCCATGATCTCACTTTCCCCACTGCTCCCTGAGAGACTCCCACCATCTTGCTGATACAGGTCTCATTGTTTTCCTTAGCACATCTAAAATTAACTTTTTTGCCGGGGAGGTTCTTACATTTTGAGTAATCCTAGGGTTTTTTCCATTCTATATGTCATGAGAAGCTCTTGGCTTAAATATGCCACATGCTCAAGGAGTAAGTTGTTTTGCTCAATATGCCTCCATGTTTTTGTTCATATTCTCTCCTCTTCCTTCAAAGAAATGACTCTGTGAAGCTCCCTCAGGTAAATCAGAGCCCAGACTTTGATTTCGTGGACTTCAGTATTAATTGAGTGCACGTATGTGCCAAGCATTGTGCATGATTTGGTGGGAAAGACAGATGTGAGGGTAGGACGCCATGAGTTTAGTGCCCCAGAAACAGGGAGCAGAGGAGAGAGGTGTATGCTGAAGGAGATATCATCGAGAAATTGATACCAATGTTCAGTCTCAAAGGAGATGGTGATCACAGGTGCAGGTCATGGGATGACAGAAGGTGGATGGATGGTGGTGGAAGAGGATGGAACATTCCAGGCAGGTTGGAGGGAATATTTGATTGGTTTCATTTATGAAGCCCTTTCTCTCTCTCAGCATTTCCACTATATTGCATTGAGTGTTTCACTTAATGGACATCTGGTCTCCCCTGCTCTATTTTAAATGTCTTGGAAACAAAGATGCTGCCATTTCCCTGGGATTCCGTGAAATTCCTAGAAGGAGCAGGCACTATTAAGAAGAACAGATGCTGGGTATGTGTTGGAGGAGTGAGTGAAAGGTCTGCAGTGCAGGCTTGTTTAAATGTAATGGAAGGTTTTGTCCTCTGGTGTAAAGATAACTCCACTTGTGCCCTGAAACGAAGTGTGAACAGATGATCAATAGCTTCTCGCTTTGGCCTGGGTGTGGTAACATCCAGGCCATTAATATGCTGTTGGGTCCTTTCCACGGGCATTTGTTTCTAGAAGCTGCGCTGCAGCATTTCTGAGGTCCTTGGCTTCCTCTCCGATCATTTGCACACCCTCAGGGAGGAAGGGCGCGCTCTCTCTCTGTTTATGAACAAGGTAATGTGTGTCAAATTGTCTTGGCTTAACCAGGCAATCGTGCACCTTTAAAAGGTACTGGGAAATGTTTCTCTATGGTCAGATTGGCCCATTATGCACATCTGTTCTCTTGACCAAACTCCAGCAATCTGCCCTCGCTTAGCTGCAAACTCCACAACCTGCTCCTGGCCAGCAGCCCAGGCCCTGCAGGCGTGTCAGTGCATAGCCAGCCAGCTGGATTTCTGGCTGTCCAGAGGCACTGGAGGGTGGCAGTCAGAGGAATCAAAGTTCACGGGTCCCCACAGCTTCAGGGCATCCCCAGGAAACCTACAGAGATCTTAGGAGGGACCCAGAGAAAAAGGAAGGGAAAAGGGATGAGGATGTGCCTTGAGAGAAGGAATGAGTGTTGCCTTTTTATACAGTTCATGGAGTTCTCATGGTAAGTATACTGGAGTGATTTGCCATTTCCTCCTCCAGTGGTCATGTATGGATGTGAGAGCTGGACAATAAAGAAGGCAGAGCACTGAAGAACTGATGCTTTTGAACTGTGGTGCTAGAGAAGACTCTTGAGAGTCCCTTGGACAGCAAAGAGATAAAACCAGTTAGGAAATCAACTGCGATACTCACTGGAAAGACTGATGTTGAAGCTGAAGCTCCAATTTGCTGACCACCTAATGCAAGCAGCCAACTCATTGGAAAAGACCCTGATGCTGGGAAAGATTGAGAGCAGAAGAAGAGGGTGACAGAGGATGAGATGGTTGGATGGCATCACCAATTCAATGGACATGAACTTGGGCAAACTCAAGGAGATGGTGAGGAACAGAGAGGCCTGGAGTGCTGCAGTCCATGGGGTCACAAAGGATAGGACATGACTTGGGGACTGAAAAACAAGGTGTGTACATTGCTTTGGGGCAGTCAGACTCTTGAGAGTCCCTTGGACTGCAAGGAGATCCAACTAGTCCATCCTGAAGGAGATCAGTCCTGAGTGTTCATTGGAGGGACTAATGTTGAAGCTGAAACTCCAATACGTTGACCACCTGTTGTGAAGAACTGACTCATTGGAAAAGACCCTAATGCTGGGAAAGATTGAAGGCAGGAGGAAAAGGGGACTACAGAGGATGAGATGACTGGATGGTATCACCGACTCAGCGGACATGAGTTTGGGTAAATTCTGGGAGTTGGTGATGGACAGGGAGACCTGGCGTGCTGCAGTCTATGGGGTTGCAAAGAGTCAGACACGACTGAGCAACTGAACTGAACTGAGTGGAAACTGAAACCAATACCTGTATGGTTTTTCCTTTTAGAAGATGACCTACAAGGAAGGTAATTTGATTAAAAACCAGACACATTTTTTTACTTTCCCCAAACTCTGGCTCCCCCTCATATTATGCGTGGGTTCTGCACTCAAGTAAATCCCCATGAATAACATGCAGCCATGATGGGTGGCAGTGCAGAATTAAGCCTAGTTGCCTTCGTGGAGGATTTCATTCCAAAGACATCCAACACCCACCGACTTCTCCCCACCCCTACATCCACCCCTTTCCCAGCCACCCTCACTGCTCCCCTGGATTATCACACCTGCTCTCCTCATCTCTGCCCTGTCCCACGAAGAAATATTTCTCAACACAGGTGCCAGAATTTGCCTCTTAAAACAGGTCAGTTTGGGACTATAGCAAATATTTTATAATAACTATAAATGGAGTATAAATTTTAAAATTGGGAATAATTATATTATACATGGGGCTTCTCTGGTGGCTCAGTGGTAAAGAATCTGCCTGCCAATGCAGGAGACATGGGTTCGATCCCTGGGTCAGGAAGATCCCCTGGAGAATGAAATGGCAAACCACTCTAGTGCACTTGCCTGGGAAATCCCATGGATGGAGGAGCCTGGCAGGCTACAGACCATGGGGTTGCAAAAGGGTTGGACATGACTGAGAAACAAGTATTGTACATTTATGATTTATACAGTGCTACACATCATCTGTACTTGAGTCAATCATCCAATAGA